ATGCAAAAAGCCTAAGATATTCCACACCTAACGGTTTTTTTTAACAACCATTAGAACTATGGATCAAATCCAGTTGTTTTTACATACCACAATGATGAATTTACAATTTCAAAATTGTAAAAACTAAGGGCTGTTTGGATCATCGGAATTTGGTGGAATTGAAAGAAACTGGAATGTCCAATCATTTGACCGAATTCTAAATAGAGTGTTTGGTTCACATAATTGATGTGAAGAATCCTTCCAATTCCAACAAATTTCTTAAGTTATTGATTTCACAATTCCACCGCATGTACCATGGATTTCAAATTCCAATCCGACAAATTCCTTAGCCCTTATCCATTCATCGACGCTATATCTCGATTTGCTTTGTTCTGCTATGCTCGATCTCGTTTAAAACTAATAATGGCAACATGCTAGGTTCGGGCCGGTTATTGGTATCCCCGTCCCCGAAACCGATAACTAAAACCGTACACGTGACTGCCCCGATCCCCGTCGGGGATCTTATCGGGGATCTCCATCGGGTCTTCGCGGTTTTCCCGATCCCAATTGGGGAACATGTTAAGGTAAAAATCATTTTTTTCCCCATTCACCGTTGGTTATAACCGAACCCGAAACCGAAACACGAAACAAATCTAAAAAAAATTACAATATGTTAATTTTCACAACTAAAAGTAAATTGCAATTTTTTTAGAGATGCAAGTTTAAATGTCTCAAACATAATCGAACCAATTACAAACAATGTATTAGATTATAATATAAAATTAAACAAAACTTCAAACATCATACAACTAAAATCACGATTTCACAATTAAACAAATAAACTACACTTTATTCGTGAGCCTTATTTGGGTTCTTGAAGTAAAGTGGAAAAAAGTTTTTAAATTTTAATGTTATTATTTTCTTTTAATGATATTATATATATATATATATATATATATATATATGTATATAAATTAAAACTAATATATATACACATATCAGGCCGGACCGGGCCGATGATCACCGTCCCCGCCCCCCGTTAAAATCCCCGAATTTGTCTCCGATCCCCACCCCGTCCTCGATAAGATGTCCCCGAACCCGGTCTGAAAGTTTTGGTTTTCGGTTTTCACCATCGGTTTTGGTTTTTTTTGCCATCTTTATTCAAAACTGCTCGATCTGGTATGCTCGACCTCTCTCTCTCTCTCTCTCTCTCGTTCTTTCCATCCTAAAAAGGATTTTCTCGAAATGCCATCTATGTAATTTTCTCGTTGAATTCCGTGAATGAAACAAAAAAATTCAATTCCATTAAGAATTTCATTTCAATTCCATCCAACCAAACGCAATCAAAAGACATGGTCAAATTTCATTCCATTTCATTCCCTCAAAGTCAAATTCATTTGATGAATTTCAATTACATCGAATTCCATTCTACGAACCAAATGCCCCCTAAAAGTGTTATAAACAACAAACCACAGGGACTAAATTTGTAGTTTACTCTAATTTACATGTATATATATAAAACGATTTTAACAAAAATATATAATATTTAATTTGATTGATTTGAAATGAAACACCGTTTAAAGAAAGAGATTTTGCCTTTCTGGTGGGACCATTACGACAGTAAATGGTGGTCCGTTACGAGAGCGACGGTGAACCATTAAATTAAGCTCACAAATTATCGTCAGTTTCGTCGCTGCGTTTTCCTCTTTCTTTATAATCCTCCGAATACATTATTCACTGTAGCTGACCTGAAAATGGCGACTCAAATTGAATTCTTCGATCTGATAATAAGCAAATCGCAGATTCCATCGGTAGGTCTGGGAACATGGCAATCGGAACCTGGTCTCGTTGGCCAAGCTGTTTCTAYTGCCGTCAAGGTTAACTTCTCCAATCTCCCTCTTTCTTCTTTCCTTCAACTAATATCACCGATCAATGGAGTTCGTTAGCTGTAATCTTATTTTCATGTATTGTTGTTTTTTTGTATATCTAATGCATGGTTTGGAGCATTGTTATCGGCATTAAAATTGTTTATATGTTTTTAAAATGTTACAAACCGATCGAGTAATCTTCGTCTTCCTGCTTAGTATGT